TGTTCATTTTTTTTTTTTTTCCATGCAGACGATATGATTAAAAAGCAAATATTTTAACATAACTTAGTGATCTGAGCTATTACTGAAATGTCCACAGTTTCACTCTTTTTTTTTTCTCCTAGATTAAAGAAAACTTTAAAAATCTATTTGCTTTGACATATGACACAATATTTAAGAACTGAAATCATCAATTAAATCACACATCAGAAACATTTCCCTTTGGTAAAAAATATAGTGCTAGACGATGTACACTTTGAAATTGTTGTTAATGTTTAAAATGCAATCTGAAGTGCATATGTTATTTAAAAAAAACCCCAACATAAATTACAAATTTTAAAAGTTTCTGAAAAAAAACAGCAGTCATTTCTTAGCAAAAGCATTTGCAGAGAAATGTGTCTTTGGGGTTTGTGGATATGCATAGTTTTCTAGCATGAAAGCTGAATATGTTATTCTTTATTTTCTTTCTTTTTCCTGTTTAAAATTGAGTAGATCTAAAGGAAACAGAGTCCTTTCAGGGTACCTGTAATAAAGTACCAAACCTGACATTCACACGAAGGTAGCAAAAGCCTTTGGGTTGTCACTGAAAACAGAAAAGGTGAATGTTGACAAGATTTCAGATTTTTTTTTTTTTTTTATTCTGGGGAATGAGGGAAACTGAAGTTAAAAATAAAGTCCTCGTATGGTCAACATGTTGGAGGAAATTCAAAGCCTCTCATAGAATAAACATATTTTAAGAAGTGTTTTGAATTTCACTGTGTAATTTCTGGCCAACAGAAATTACGGTTGTATCTTTGGAGGGACGTTGTGTCAGATCAATGGTCATTATGTGAAAAAAGTAATCTGAAACCTGGATGCCTTTAACCCATTCTGTTAAAACCTGAAATCCAAGGGAGGCAGCTCTGCTACTGGAAAACTTTGTGCCACGGCGGTGCAATTCTAAAATATTTGGGTTTGATGTTACGGGAGATATGTAAAATGTTCCTGGGGGAAAAAAAAAGTCAAGTACAAAGCTTCGCACGCTTTGGCAAAAGAATTTCATCAGCGGTTATTAAAAAATACGACAGTTTATGTCCCAAAAAATAAATGAAATTATCCAAAGCATGTGAATAAGCTGAAATATCCCAGCCTGGAGCATGCTGCTAGTTGTTCCTGGGTTATATTTAGCTGTAACCTTTGGAGTCTGGAAGTCTGAGAGGAATATCTGCTGTGCCAGGTGAGGGTGGTGTGTGTGTGCAACACACCCTGGTGTAGCCAACGTGCCCCTTGTTTTCCAGCAGCATTATTAAGCAAAGCCGTCCATACTTCACCATGTTGTTACATGTGTCTGTCTGCTGATTATAAAATGTGTTAAACAGTATTTAAAAAACAAAAAAATGCAGAGCTGCGCTTTGATTTATTCAGCGAACAAAACATATGCTCGCTGTTCTGTTCTATGTAATTCATATGATCAATAAAATTTTCTTTAAAAAGAGCAACTTTGGCATTTAGAAGGATTATGCTGCTGAAGAAAAAAAAAAAGTTTCCCTCTTGCTGCATGCAGGCAATCTCAAGGCTCTTGCAGGAAAATAATTTTTTTTTCTGACTAATGTCTATTTTTGTGTATTTGTGATTTCTAATCCTCAGGATGGAGGCTGTGCATTGTGGCTGTTACCCGCTGTGTCCCAAAGCCTTGGTGTACCCAGAGATATTCCCAGGTATCTGCTTTGTTGCCTGTTCCTTCTGCTGAAACGTAATAACATGATTCCTGCTAAAATCAAAAGTTTGGGAATAAACTTGAGTGAAAGCAATTGTTTATTTGGCAAGCCAACATGTTAGTGTTAAGGCAAATTTTATGTGTTTTAATACATTAGACGAAGTTTATATTTGCCATCTGTTCTTTTAAGATAACAAAAAAGCAAGTTTTGAAATAGCATTCTTCATTGTTAGCATACACATCCCGTAATGATAGATTTTTGTTAAGAGGTCACTGATGCTGCAATGGTTTGCAGATTTTTTTTTTTCTGATACACAGAAGAGGGAAAAAAAAAAAAAAGCCAGGCCTGAAAATCACACCAAATTATTTAAACAATTTAATACTTAATAGTATGCAACTGCAGTACAGGATACACATTAATGTAGTACCAGTTCTTCGAAAAATCTCATCACTAAATGTATCACATATGCATTGTGTTACATTAGAATAATGTATTTTAATCACCCAAAGGAGATGTCTAAACAGCACAACTACACAGTCTTATTTAGCATTAAACATCCTTGTGAGCTGAGGTAACCTTATAAAATCATGCTTAAATAATGTAAAACACGAGGCGGCACAGAGCAATATGCATTTTTAATTAGTAAAGTGACTAATATCGAGTGTGTGCTTTGAGGTTTTTGTTTCATTAAAAATGTATCTGTTTTTCCTGCAGCTGAATATCTGTATTCTACACCTGAACAGCTTTTTAAAAGGCTTCAGAATTTCTGCAAGAGACCAGATATTGTAAGGAGACATCTCTATAAGGTAGTTGTTTGGAATAGTTTTAGATGATATAACGCCATATTGAAGTACAAAGGGGAAAAAAAAAAAACTTAAAAAAACAACATTTAATTAACATACTAATGTTTAAAGGAAACATGCTAGGGAGGGATATTAGTCGTTACACTAACAAGGATTAATTAAACTAGATGCCAGTTGTATTAACCTAGGTCTTATGAAATACGTGCACTTAATGCATGCTACATGTTTTTTTTAATTTACTGTTTTCTAAAATGACTGTCCTTTACATTTGGACCCAAGAGGCTTATAAAAATGAACCTGGATTAATGCAACTCATTAGTTTAAAAGGAAAATAAAAGAAAGATCCTACAATTATACTAATGAGGATAGGCCTAACTTCCTATCTTAATTTAGTCTTTTAAAAAATGCAGGTGACAGGTATCAGGTAAGATTTCTTTGGCTTTGGGAATAATTTGAGTGATTTTCATAATTACAATTATTTTAATTATTTGCTTTATAAGGTGTGTTGAGCATTAAAGTTTATTGGGAGAATAATTTACTGGTATTTATCATGTCCCCTTCTTTGCAATTATTTCTGTAGAGAAAATGAATGTTCAGTGGCAAACTCTCCATTCAGGTTTTGCTCAAGTGTTCGATTCTAGGCCAACTTTCATGATTTTAAATGGTATATTTACACTGATGAGAGTCATGCTTTTTTTTTTTTTTTAATTTGAATGTAGATGAAGCACTAAATTTTACATTATTCCAGCAAAGAGCCGTTACTACACGATGCTGCTTTCAGAAGAATAACTGCAGGTTTTTACGCTGTGCTTCGTGCATTTACAGCGGTTTTTTGACTTTTACTGTCCTGGCTCTGCTGTGGGCAGGTTGGATGCACACCACCCCTGCACCACAGAGGTGTTTCAGCTCATGAAAACCCCTAAATTCAGCTGAAAGTCCTTAAAGGCTTGGGGGTGCATGGAAATGCTCCTCGTGTTAACCCGTGTGGCACAAATGCGGTTCTTGGAGCGTTCCCTCCTCCGTCCAGCCTCACTCTTAATGAGCAGGTCGAGTAATCTCCTCCTTAATTTGGAGTCTCATGCTGCCAACAGACCCAGCCTCATGCCTCCACCTCCCTCCCTGCCCCTGGGGACCAGAAACTGTTGGGTCTTGCTGTGTTTTGTCTGCCTCTCTCCCCCTTCCTGCACACACATAGCAAGAGCAGCAAGGACTTAGCCCACGCCTTGACTTTTTTTGTGACCTAAAAATAGGCATTTACATAATGATACATCAAAGATGATGTTGTTTCTGCAGGAAACAGTTAAACCTCAAGGAAAAAAAAAAAAAGAAAAAAAAGAGAGAGAACCAAAAATGCAATTTAACACCCAATTTCAAGCTCATTATCTTTCATTGTCTATTAACTTGGCAATGGTTCAGAAGGTAGCTCATAATAGTTTAAAATGCTGACTGAACACTTCCAGTGTTCAGCATTACTTCTTGAGTCAATAGTATCGTAGAGTTAGGCATGGGGGCTTCAAAGGGAAAGCAGTCCTTAAATGTTTACCTTGGCATTTCCCAATGCTTCAAGCTCAGCTAATGGTTGCATTCACATGGATCTTCTCCCACATGGTTCCCAGCTCCTGAACACAGAGCCAAGGCATGCAAAAAATACTGATATAAAATAGTACAGGTTGAAAATATGTATGCAAGCCCTGTAGGCAAAATGCTGATTTACTTGAAGGATTTTTTATATTTTTTAAGAATTCCTTGGGATGATTAGTAGGCGGAAACTGAAGGTGTTTTTCCTGCCCCTCATGCATGGGGTTTGCAGATTTTCTGAGTATCAGAGGCCAACCTCTGCAACAGGTAGCAATGGAGCTGAGTGGGAGATTGTTTTAAAATGAGGAAAGCAGAGCCTAATCCAGCACCTGTGAGCACCAGAGGAAATATCCCTGTTGTCTTTAATAGGCTTTGGATCAGCTCAGAGAATACTGTTAGAGTTGTCCTTTTGTGCCTACACCCACGTACTTCACCTAGTCTTCCTTCACTGTGGACCATCCACAAAAGCTCCTGGAAAATGCTAGCTCAGAGCTGTGCTGTTAAGGTCATTTCAGCTGGAGTGATGCTGCTTTGTAAGGAAGCTGAACAGAGTAAAATTCTGAAGGCTATGCAGCACTTGCACAATATTTTCACTTTTTTTTTCAGATCACTATAATATTATCTCTGTTTTCGTGGGCTAGAAAAGGGATTCCAGCACAAGAGTCAATGTTAACCAGCTCCTTGTATTTCAGAAACCATCCTGCCATGCTCTGCATTGAGTTTATCAAGTACCTGTGCCATTTTGGAAGTAGAAATGCTTTAGAAGCAAATAGTGCTTTTCTCTGCTGGTTGGAGATTCTCAACTCCACAAGTTGGGAAGTAATCACCTTGGCTTATCCTTTTACATATTGTTGGGATTTTATTACTCAGGATATCTATAATAATTAGACAGTGGCTAATTAAACAGGCAGTTTGTTCCTTCAGATGTCCTCAATGCTTGTGCTAACAAAATTAGTGGCAGAAAAGAGATAAATGGCAGCACGGCAGTGGGCTTAGAGGCTGGACATAGGGGACATCCCTGTGAAAATGCACAGACCAAGGCATTAAACTGTAGTAGCTTAACTCCACGGAGCAGATTCATGCTGGCAGACTTTTAAAATGTCCATAATGTAAGCACCTATGAAAAACTTTCCAGATGATGTATTGCTCACCCTGAGTAGTCACACAGCACTCAGGGCTGGCTCATCTGCATTTCAGCTTTGCCTTCTGCCAGTTATTAGCAGAAGACTGAGATGAGAGGGAAGCAAATCTCATTTGTTATCAATTATTTGTTCTGTTCCAGTTTCATGGAATCAAACTCTAGTTCTGGGTGGTTTTGGTTGCCAAGGTAAGCGCAGGAATGAAGCAAGTAACAACAGCAGGGCATTGGTCAGGGCACACTACAGGACCTGTTAGTGCCCTATCTAGTAGATTTAAAGTTAAAATAAATAAAATAAAATAGGGCAAAACATTTGCTTCTGCATTATTTTCTTAATGTTTACCTTTTAGTTTCCTCACTTGAGTTTCTTAATTTAAAACAGCATGCATAAAGAGTATACAGTGGAAAGGGACAAGAAGAGTTGCCAAAAGCCAGGCATGGAAGGAGCTGACAACTTTAAATAATCTCTCCCAGCCCTCCCAGCTGAATGAGTGCTGGTTGACATGCTGTCAGCTTCAGTTCCTACAGAAAAATCCTACTCTCACTCATGCTTGTTTAATGGAGAAAAGAATTTGGCCCACTTTCTGACATTCATCTTCTCATTTCCATCACACTACAGAAGCTCACCTGCCTATGAAAAGACACATGGCGTGATTTTTTTCTTTCTGACACCACTGTAGAAGGAAGTCTGCTGAATTCAAAGGGATTAAACTGCTGTAAAATCAAATTAAGATCCCAGTTAGACCATAGACATCTGAATTGTTTCCAGTCCCAGGATTTGGCTGTATAGGGCAGTTCTAACAAAACTTTATTTTTTTTTCTTTTCCTTTTCTTTTCTTTTTTCTCTGATTTGAGATAAAGCAGTATCTTGGGATTTTCAGGGAAATGTGTAGAAGGGGAAAACTGCTCCTGGTCCAGCTTTCATGTTTAGGCAAAGCTAGGGAAGCAGCAGGAGGCATTCTCAGTGCAATAAACTGGGCATTGGGCATGTGAGGATGCAGAGGAGCCTGATGCCAGGTGTCCCTTCAGCCACTCAGCCCTGTTGTTCACAGTTCCTGTACCTATGGCCATGTGAGAGCCACGGATGGTGCCTCTGCCTTTATCTTTACCCAATCCCCAGCAAAACTCCATTGGAAATTCATTTTTCTATAAGCAACCTGGTCTAGTGGAAGATGTCCTTGCCCATGGCAGGGGCTTGGAATGAGATGGTCTTTAAGGGCCTTTCCAACCCAAACCACCCCATGATTCTATGATTTGTTTATGATGGTGTTTAAATAATTTCCTTAATTAGCTCAGGTTTTCCCCACCTTCAGTTGTGTTGAGTGTCTTCTTGTTCTGGAGCTGGTCGCCTGGAAGCAGGAGCTCCCCATCCATCTTTATTGTACCTTCCATTATTTTATAAACATTTGTCAAACATTTACAGTATCCCAGTTTTTTCAGTCTCTCCTTGTGAATGTTATTCCATGTTTATATTCTAATCTCTCATCATTCAAGCCATTCTGATGCTTGAGAGTTGTTTTTGTGCTGGTGTGATCGTTGCTTTAGAGAATTCTGAGCTGTGCCATCAGTTTATGTGATGTGTAGTACTCTGATAATTCCCAACCTGTTCCTTATGGAGCCAATCCTACTGTTTACATTTTAATAGTGAATGTATATTGAGCAGATGTTTGCTTACAGTGTTCTCCAGATCTTTTGTCCCGGGCTGATAAAGTTAATTCAGAGCTTTATAGGGTATGCAAATAATGCAAGTATTTCCATCCATCCTGCTGGCTTTCCTGCTCACTAGCAGAGCATGTTTGCAGAGTTAAAAATGAAGGAATTGTATTGAATTTCTGCTTTTACCTGGCTAGCATTAGGTGCAGGTCAAAGGAGGTTATAAACACAAATGAGAAACTTGTATTTGCCTCTTGAGTTGCTCAGTTTCCCATGAACATGATTTAAAATGGTTTCAGAGGTGGTTTAGATCTGCTTCTCAGAGTCTGTGGGGGAAGGTTACAGGAACTCTGGAGTGCAGAGCTTTGTGTCCATTCTCTCCCATCTCTGTTCCAGTGCTTAGGTATGTGATCCTAAGGAAAATATGTAAAACATAAGGATTTTTTTATGTGCAAGAAAACTTCCATTAGTTATTTGGAGCACAGAATCACGGACTAGTTAAGGAAGGTGCCTCTGGACATCACCAGTCCCAGCCTCTGCTCAAAGCAGGGCCAGTTTCGAAGTAGGATCTGACTTCAAACTTAAATTAGGTTGCTCAGGATCACATCCAGGTTAGACTCAAATCTTGACACTT